CCCGCACTAATCCCGTCCCAGCCTGTGCAGGCTCCCAGCTCCGCCGCAAATCCCCCGCGTCTCGGAGCCGCCGTGGACCCCCCAGTGGGGTCAGGGACCAGCTGGGGGCCACTAATCCCCCCCCGGGACCTTCCTCCCCCACCCTCACCTCACCCGAGGCTCATTGGGACACCGGGACCCTTCCGGGCTGGGCCATCCCCAAACCCCCCGTGCTGCGGTGTCCCCTGGGGGAGGGACAGGACAGGGGGGACACTGCTCAGAGCCGCGACAAATCCCGGGGGGCTCAGCGGGGCCGCGGGGAGGGGTCGCCAGCGGGATTAAGGATTTAAGGTCTCGCCTGCAGCGATCCCAAGGCGGGGATGGAGGGAGGGGGACACGGTGGCCTGGGGGGTTTTTCCCTCACTAATCCCTGCCCAGGTTTTTATTGCCTGTCACGATTTCTCGCGGCGCAGGGTTCATTATTTATTGCTGTTTGCCCCGTAATTAGCCCCAGCACTTACCCAGGACGGCGATGGGCAGGAGGGAGAGCCCGAGCAGGAGCCAGCAGGCGGCATCCCCCATCACATGGACCATGCTGGACCTGCGGGGACAGCGCGCGCTGCCAGGCCGGGGCTCGCCAGGGGCCAGGAATCGCCGCGGGGCGAGCGGCATCAGCCCCGATAGCCCAGGGAGGGCTGGAGGTCGCCCCAAGGATGTTTTTCCCAATTGTCCAATGAGCTCCTGTCCTGTCCTGGCTGCACTGACACACTTTAAACCCGGGCTGTCTGTACAATAAATTGGCCTTTCTTCCCCAAGAGCCCCGTGTGTGCTGCTGTCCTTTCTCTCTCTTTTTTTTAACCACATCCCGGGGGTCCCGCACAGGCACAAAGCCCCGGCCCTGCTCCCGTCCTGCTCTGCTGGAGGGTCCCGAAATCCCCTGGGATCAGCGGGGAGCTGGGCAAGTCACACATCCGGAGTGGGCACAACCTGGCACAGGTGTCACCCAGGGCCTGCCACCATCATCCAGAATGGACACAACAATCACGCAGTGCCCAAAATCATCACCCAGTTCCTGTCACCGTCACCCAGCGCCCAAAACCCAAACCCCAAAGTGCCACCACGAGCCTGCACCAAACCCCGAGTCCCCCCTCCCATGGACCCATCCTGGAATTCGCTGCCCCCCGGTTTTCCCCTGTCCCAGACAGGGATTTGGGGACCTCACTCCGTCCTTTGGGGGACACCAGGAGCCCCCGGCGCCTCCCCAAACCGAGTCTCTGCCTCATCCCCCATTCCTGCTGCTCCATTTCCAGCCCTTGCTGCCTCCTTCTGTCCCTTCTGTGCTTTTATGGGACGAAAATAGAAAGAAAGAGCGAAACGGCGAGAAAAAAGGAGACCCCCCGTGTTCCGAGCTGGCAAAGGACCTTTTTAGGGGACGCAAAACCGCTTTTTATCGGATTTCTTCTCAAGAAAAAAGCCTTGGCAGCTCCGCGGGGCGCTCTGTCCCCACAGCCAGCAGCTGGGAGGGGACAGGGAGGAGACCTGGGAGATTCCCGGGGTCAGGAATGGGCAGCGGGATGCGCCTCTGCCCAGATAAATCTCCCAGGAGCTGGAAAACCCCAAAACAGCCCCGGGGCTGCTCCAAGGCACCGAGCGCGGCTCCTTCATCCCTGCTCCGGGATGCTCCGGGAAGGAAATTCCTTCCGGGCAGCCTCGCCAGCACCAAACTTTTCCTTTTTTCCCCTCTCTAGGGGAAAAAAAATAAATTCTTTGGCACTTTCGGGTTCGGGAGGTTCCGGCTGCTCCCATTGAAATGTTAATTTTGATTTTGGGTGTCCAGGAGCTTTCCCAGGACAAAAACCAGCGCTGTGACCTTGGTGGGTGTGGGATGGGGACAGTGGGGACGGGATGGGGACATCCAGGACACCAAGCACCAGGGTGTCCCTGTCTGTGCTCACGCAGCCCCCAGGGCTCCAGACCGTTCTGTTGCGTTTTCCCACTTTTTCAGATTTTTTGGGATTTCCACCCATCTTCTTTTTGTCCCCGCTGCAGCTTCCAGGCGATTTTTCCCATTGAAAGGCAAACGAGATTTGGGGAGACAACGGCGCTGGGATCCCGCTCCCTGCCACCTTCCCGGGATCTTCCCCTTCTCCATCCTCCTCCTCCTCCTCCTCCTCCCTGGCCTGCGGAGCATCCAGTGACAACTGGGGGGGTCCCATCCGCGGTGCCACCCCGGGCTGGTGGCAGCGAAAGCCGCGTGAACACGAGGAGTAGAAATCCTCCCGGGAGTAGAAATCCTGCTCGGGGTATTTTATTTACTCAGAGCCGGCTCCTGGCTGAGCAAACAGCCGCGATTTCTTTAAATGTTAAACACAAAAGTTGCTCTTTGTGTTTCCAGCCCCTTCCCGGGGGGCTGAGGAATGCCGGGCTTGGTGGGATGGGGCTGGAGGGGTGGGATGGGGATGGGGGTCCCTGATCCCACCCCTGGGTGCTGCTGGGGGCTCGGGGTTCGGGTTCTGGGGTCGCGCGGCTGAGCTGTGGCCTCCCCTGACATCAGCATCCCTGTAGGATTTGCTTTCGCGGCAGGAAAAGTGGGAACGGCGGGGCCGGCAGCACCTGGGAATGCTCAGCTGTCCCCAAAATCCACACCCAGCAGGGACAGGACACGGCTCTGCTCCTCTGGGGCCACCCGGCTGTCACCGCTGCCCTTGGCTGGGGACACATCCCCCACGGCCCGGCCCGTGCCCCCCGCCCCTCACCCCGGCAAGGTGCTGAGCCAGCGAAAAGTTTCTCCCAGGGTCAGGACAAGTGACACGGGAAGAGCCACCCCCACACGCGGTGTCCCCTCGCAAGGTCCCCAGGGCCGGGCAGTGTCCCCGGGACCGAACCCCCTCCTCGCGATCCATGAATCCACAATCCAGCCCCAGCCCCGCCGGGAGTGAGGCAGGGATGGCGCGGGCACATCGCGACACTGCGGTGTCACCGGGATCGGTCCGGGATGGATCTCAGGCAGGATGGGGACATCGGGTACGGGATGGGGACATCGGGTACGGGATGGGGACATCAGGTGTGGGTTGGGGACAATGGGTACGGCATTCCCAGGAAAAGCAGCCGTGGGCCGGGCCATGTGTTTGTCACCACGCAGCGCCCGGTGGTGACAGCGAGGCGGGGGGGTGGCACAGGGGTGGCGAGGTGACAGAGGTGGCCGGGCCACCACGGCCACCAAGGCCCGGATTTCACAGCTGGGGGGTCTCTCCCCGCAGTCAGGGCGGTGTCACCGTGACGTCCCCAAGGCCACGTGGCTCGGCCCCCCCTTGGGGACACGGAGAGTGTCCCTGTCCCCTCGGTGTCCCAGTCCAACCGGGGGAACGGCAGACGAGAGAAATTTTAAAATAACGCCGGTGCTAAACGCCCCCCCGAACCCCCCCCAAAGCCGGGCGAACATTTTCACATCTGTCACTTGCTGTCACCTCATGAATAATTCATCCCGCTCATGAATATGCAAAGCCGGGGCTGGTGATTAGCTTGAGCTGAAACAGAGCTTAATTCCACACAGGCCGCCGGGACCACCCGGCCAGTTTGGGGGTCACCTGTGCCCCCAGCCTGCCCCGAGCCTCGGCTGGGATGGGGTGAGGAGGATCCCGGGGTCCGCACGGAGCACAGCGGACATTTGGGACAGCGCTGGGGACACGGGGTGGGTGACAGCACAGAGGGGGCACTGCCCACCCGCCCGGGCATCCCGGCTGCGTCGCGACACTGGTGTCCCCACCCTGGGGACACGCCGCTCTTGGGGTGTCCCCACGCACACCTCAACCCCCCGTGACCTCTGCTGTCCCCGCAGTGCCACCAACACACCCGCGACATCTCAGTGCCCACCCCCTCGGCGTGTCCCCCCCCGCCACCGCTGCCACCGCTGCCACCGCTGCCACCCCGGGGGCTGCTCCTGCACCCCCCAACCCCCATTCCCGAGCACCCCTGAGCCCCCTCCCCACGCACAGCACCCACCTCCCTCCCAGCGCCGCGGTGTCCCCAGCGGGGCCCGGGGGTGGCCTCCGGGGGTGTCCCCCGGCCGGGGGTGTCCCCGGGGGCTGCGCGGCCGTGGCAGGAGCCCGGCGGCGGGGCCGGCTCGGCGTCCCCTCCTCTCTGCCCACAACAAAGGAATTCTGCAAACCTCGCTGCCGTCACATCTCACAGGCAACGTGATGCTCCCCGCTCCCCCCAGCCTGCCGGAATAAATTAGCACCTCGGGAAACTGTGATCCCGTCCAATATGGGCCCTTTGCCGGGTGCGATTTTTATTAGGCAGACAGTCTGCAGCCTTTATTTTAGAATTTGCTCCTCTTTTTTTTTAATTTTTTTTTTTTAATTTATTTATTCTTTTTTTGCCCCGTTTTCTGCCTCTCCCCGGCAAAGCCCAAAGCGCCTCGGGAGACCCAAAGCCGGCTCAGCATCGCCGGCCACACGCTGGGAGTGACTCCCGACACCGCTGCCGGTGCCCAAAACCGGGAGGAGACCCCCGGGCCCGTGGGCCTGGCACGGGTCCAGGCCGCTGGCACCGTTGTCCCACCGGTTTTGGGGTGGCCCTATCGGCACCCACATCCATCCATCCACCCACCCATCCCGGCTTCTCCCCATGCTGGGGACATCCTGGCCGTGTCACTCTGTCAGCCCCCTGGTAGCCAGGGCCACCCCGGGATAGGGACATTCCCGGCTCCCGACCCGCCAGGCAGCCACCAGTGTCACCAGTAAGGAACTGGGCGCACCCGGCTGTGGCACCGCAGGGAGGTGACACCGTGGTGGCACCCACGGCTGTCCTGCCACCCCTCGCCACCTCTGCTCGCCCTCTGTGTCGCTGCCAGCTCCCGGGGGGCTCAGGGCACGGTGTCGCACTGTCCCCAGTGCCGGGGATCCCCAGCCCCTCTCAGCCTCCCCAGCCCCTGAGAGCTCCGGTCCTCACCGTGTCCCCCTGTCCTGGTGTCCCCACAACGCCAGTGGCCACGCCCCCATTGTCCGGCTGTCCCAGTGCCCCTGATCCCCGCAGTGTCCCCTCCAGCCCAGCACCCCCATCCTTGACAGCTCCCTGTCCCCTCAGTGTCCCCTCAGTGTCCCCCACGCCGGGGCCACCATCCCTCACCTCCGTCCCCCCCCACACCGAGTGTCCCCTTCCCCACTGCGCCCCTAACCCGGATCGGTCCCGCTCCGGTGTCACCGTCCCCATCCCCGCCACCGGGACCCGCGGGTCCTCCCCCAGGCCCGCATTCCCCAGCCTGGATCCGTCCCGCTCCTGCCGTGGTGGCGCCGGTGTCGCTGCCGGTGTCGCTGCCGGTGTCGCTGCCGGTGTCACCGCCCCCCATCCCCGTCCCCGCAGCGGTGCCAGTGCCGGTGTCACCGTCCCCATCGCCACCACCGGGCCCCGCATTCCTGCAGCCCCCGCAGCTCCGCCGCGTCCCCAGCTCGGATCCAGCCCGGATCCAGCGCTGTAGCGCTGCCGGTGCCGGTGCCGGTGCCGGTGTCGGTGCCGGTGTCAGTGTCGCTGTCCCCATCCCCCCGTCCCCGGCACGGATCCGTCCCGTTCCCACCGCAGCCGTGCCGGTGTCCCCATCCCCACGGCGGCCCCGCAGCGGGGGCGCTGCCGGTGCCGGTGCCGGCGCCGGTTCCGATGCCGGTTCCGGTGCCGGTTCCGATGCCGGTTCCGGTGCCGGTTCCGGTGCCGGTTCCGGTGCCGGTGTCGGCTCCGGTTCCGGTGCCGGTTCCGCACTCACCTGCTCCGTGCTCAGGGCGCGCCGGGACTCATCGCCGCCGGTAGCTCCGATCACTCCCGCCGGCACCGGGAGCTTAAGAACGGGGCTCGGAGAGGGGGGCAGCGGGCCGGACCCACCTCGCCCCCCCTCCCGCAGCCCGGAGGGGGCCGAGCCGGGCCGGGCCGGGCCAATCGCGGCTGGCGGCGGGCGCGGCCCCCTCCTGTTCCCCCCGCCGGTGCCGCCGGTGCCGCCCGCCCGCACCTGCCAGCAGCCGCGGAGAACCCGCGCCCGCTCCGCGCTGCCCGGCGCAGGGCGAGGGGCGGCCGCGCATGCGCCGCCCCCCCCCAAAAACCCGGGCCAACCCCCCCCAAAAAAATGGGGGCCGCCCCCTCCCCATCGAGCGGAGTCGCCTCTTGCACCCCGCTCAGCGAGGAAGGGGTTGGGGGGGTCCCTGTAATGAGGGGGGGCCATGGAATAGGGGGGGCTGTGATGGGGGTGGGGTCCCTAACAGGATGTGGGGGGGTCGCTGTGATGGAGGCAGGAAGAAGGGGGGGGGAAGCCCAAAAGGATTTTTTGGGGTGTTTTCAAAAAGAGGAGCATCTCCCAGCCCCTCCACACCCCAAAATTCCCTTTAAGCCATACAGGGCACACCCTCAGCATCCTCCAGCCTCCCCCACACCCCCCTATGTGGCCGGAATGGGGTGCGGGGGGGCTGGAAGTTGCTGTGGGTGCACAAAGATTTCAAAAAGCCCCCAAACTCCCCCCTAAAAAATCGGTGAGACTCTCCAAAGAGCTGCGCTACCAGACACGACCCCCAAAATGGGGAAGAAAAGCATCCCTGAGCTATTGGGGGGGTGTGGGGGGGTTTTGGGTGGGGGGGTCACCTTCCCGCCGGTGACTGAAGAATGCCAGCCTGTCTCCCACGGTTTGGCACCAAAAAAAAAAAAAAAAAGAGACTCGCCCCCCTCCCCATTTCGCCCATAGGATGGATCCGTGGAAACCCGAGAGCAAAGTTCTCATTTCCGACTCCATTGTGCCAGACTTTTCGTGGCGTTTCCTGCCTTTTGTGAGCCCCCCCTGCTCGGGCACAATCCCGGCGTTGCCGGCGCACAGAGCTCCTCTGTTCCCCTCCTTTATGTGGCTGCAGCTGGCGGGCCCGGCCCCACGGAGGTGCCCGGGAGTGGGGGACAGGGACGGGGGTCGCGGTCCCCGTGGGGTTTGCCAATGGGAATTAGGGAGAGGGTCCCAGGGGATTTGATATCCCGGCTTCTCCCCGCTCGCAGGGGGTGCAGACACCCTGCAGATCTCCCGTCCCGACTCCGAGAGGGCACCCCAGGGTGTTTTTGGGGTTGTTTTGGGCTGTGGCTCCTGCTCGGAGACATCCATGGGGTGCGGTCGGTTCAGAAATCCCCACCTGGGCACCCTGGGGATGTGCCCCCCAGCCACAGCTGGCGGGGCACCCTCCGCCCCAAATTCTTCCTCCTGCTCCTCATCTTCCTGAATTTCACCTGGAAACCGCGCGGGGTGCGTGGATCAGGGATCCATGCGGGAATTCCCAGTGGGAATGTCGGGTCGCGCCAGAACCTCGCACGTGTCACACATCCCAAAAAACTCCAGCACAGCCGCTCGCAGCCTGACCCGACCCTCGAAATGGGCCCGGAGCCTCTCGGGGACTCAAAGATGGGGGAGTGGGGACACCGACCCCCCCTCAGAGGCACCGGGGATGTGTCACCGGCCTTTTTTGTGACAAGGGAAGGTGCTGGCAGTGACTGAGCCCAGCTCTCGTCTCAAGTGGAGATGGATGTCACAGCAGCCACCCGCCAGCGCGGCTTGGGGACCGGGGTGCCACCGACACCTCTCCCCCCTCTCCGGCAGCTGCTCCGTGCTCGGGGACGCTCTGGGGACCAGCTCCTCCAACTGGCACCAGTTTGGCGTCCCAGTGTCCTCCCGGCAGCTGGGAGGTGACTTCATCGGGTCTCGTCGCCCTCGGAGCCCAACATCCTGCCAAGGCCGAGCCTCGCTCGGGTGGCACCGAGCGGTGTCCCAGTGTCGCCAGGGTGGGGTCCCCGCACCCCTCCAGCCCCGAGCTGCTCCCACCAGGCAGAACCTGCTGTCACCGTGTCCCCACAGCCCGGACCCCGCCGGGTGGCCCCGGGACAGCGAGGTTGGGGTGACCCCGTCCCTCGCTCCCGATCCTGGTCCCCGGCCCCGGCAGGATCCGCGCAGGGCAGAGCGGGGACTGCGCGTCTTTTTGAGCCCGAACGCGGGGATTCTGGTGAAATCCTGCAGCAGTGTTGCCGTGACGACCCTCCCGCAGTTTCCATCAGAGATGTTTTCCTTTGTTGTGACAGGGACACGGGGAGCGGCCGCGGGCGGTTGGGGTGCGCTGACAACGCCGAGGGGCTCCCGCTGCCAGGGCAGGGTCCCGGCACCGCCCTGGGGACCCCGCCGAGGCTCCGGAGTGGGGCTGGGGGGGCTACACTGCTGGTTCGTCCCCAAAAAACAGCGGAGGGGACATGAGCCAGGTGACGTGAGCTTGGTAGGTCTCAGCCAGGTCTTGCTGCCATCACAATAGAGGGGTGACATGGCCAGCCCGCGGCTTGGGGACACCCAGGGGTTGGTTCTGTGGTGGCCGCCCCTGTCTCGCACAGGACGGAGCCAAACTGGGCGGGTGGCGTGGCCGGGAGCCTCCCGAGCTGCTCCAGTTCGGGCTGGTGGCGGCGAGGCCGGGGTGCTGAGGGACACCGCGGTGTCCCGGAGCCTCGCTGGGCAGAGAGGGGACCCGGAGCTCCCCGGGAGCTCGGCTCGGTGTCCCCGCACGGCCGCGGGGTGCTCGGGGGGACCCCATCCCGAGCCCCACGGAGCCGCTTGTTATTCCGCTCAGGTCCGCCGGCGGCTAATGAAGGCCGTTCCAGGAGAGCTGCCACATTCATCAGGATTGCAGCTCATTACCGAGGCCTCTGCCACCGCAGCTGGGGCCAGCGCTCGGGGCACTGGCACGGGGACAGCGGACGGACGGACGGACGGACGGACGGGCAGGAGGATGCGCGGATGGGGAGAAGCGGCGGCTCTGCCCGGCCTGGCGGAGCTGCGGGGCTGGAGTCGGGCAGGACAGCTCAGGGATGGGGAGGGGACAGGGGGGAGCCAGAGCGATGGAACCTCGTCCGTGCTGTCCCTGTCGCCTCACCTCGTCACGGAAGGGGCTGCAGTGTCCCCTCGGGGACGTGGCCGTGCTGCCTTGGCCAGCCCCAACTTCCCCCCGAAGCCACCGGCAGCGTGCATTGATTTTATTTGCGGTTTCCATGGCAACTGCCTCCTTCCCTTCCCCCTTCCGGCAGCCGGACCCGCTCCTTCCCCCTCGGGCAGCGACCACCCCGCACCTGGGACCCGGGAGGGGACACGGGAGGGGACACGGGAGGGGACACGGGAGGGGACACGGGCGATCCCCGCGGTGGCGATGCCACCAGCTCACCCCTGTGCGTGATTTTGGGCTGGCGCGGGACACGGGGGACACCGGGCCCCGCTCTGGCTCCGGCCATAATCAGCAGCAGGGCTGGCAGGATGCCGCGCTGGCTCATTAGCCAGGGTGTTAATTGTCCCGTGCGGGGACACCGAGCAGCATCTCCCGTCAGCAAAGCCAAGCTCATTACCGGCACACGCCACCCTCACACCTGCTCACAGCGCTGTGACACGTGCCAGGCACTCACGGTGTGGTGACACTGCTGGGGACACTGCAGCAACTCCGGTGCCGTCACCCCTGGGGACTAAACGCCAGTTTGTGGCTTAAAACCAGCCTTACAATAAATTAATGACAATTATATCGTTTACCCATCCTCTTCCAGGGGGGATGCACTCACGGCCACCCTGCCCTGCTCCTGCCCAGCGCCGAGATGCCACCGCGTTGTCACTTGGCGTGGGTGACAAATGACATCTGGCTGTGCCAAACCCTTCCTCAAACCCCCGTCCTGCGCGCTCGGGGGAATTTTGATAAATAATAAAGGCGGGGAGAACAGGCAGAGCCCTGTGCGGGTGCGCCCTGAATTCCGCATCCCCCGGCGATCCTCGGGGGCTTTACACGGAAGTGGAAATCAATGGGCACGAGTAATTCACGGTGAAGGGCACAACGCCCGCTCTTCCTTCGGAAGCGCCGGCCGGGGATGCTCGGCAGAGCCCGCTCGGCCGCCGCCCGCCGCACAAAAGGCACCGAGGGCGTTCGCTTCCTGCGAGGGCACGGCGGCACCGAGCCAGCATCGCGGGCCCCGGGGCGAGCGGGGGCTCCTGGAGCCGTGCCCGAGCTGGCCTTGGCACCGTCCTCGCCATCAGCTCCTGCAAGCGATGGAAAGGCCTCCCCGGAGCGCCGGGCTGGACGGAGCCGCTGCCGGCCCCGGCGGAGCCGCGTTCCTCGACAGCGAGGAAGGTGCGAGGCCGAAGATCACGGGGCTGGGGGGCTGCTTCTCGGTTCTGCAGCACTGGAGGGTCGGGGGTCACCGGGATCCCCCCGGTTCCCAGCACTGATCACTTGGATCCTCCCGGTTCCGAATGAGATCCTCCCGGTTCCGAATGAGATCCCCCCGGTTCCGAATGAGATCCCCCGGTTCCCCAGCGCGGAGGGTCGGGGGTCACCGGGATGAGGAGGGGGACGCTGCCAAGAGGCGCGTGCGGGAGGTGACGCGCACGGCGGTGGCAGA